GTTTTCAAACTGGGTAGTGGTAAATTATGTTAAAACCGGGCTTCTAATTTTAAAAGTTGTGAAATTAATTTGCCTCGTCTTTCAAAGAGGACAAACATCAATCGAATGCTTTCCGTCTCATCAGGTGCTCGTGAAGTCATTTTAAAAGATTCCGATGCTTTTCTAAGAAATCTTAATTGCCAAGTTCATTAGTTTCTCTTCGCTGGATTTCTGTTTCGGAGTTAGAAATTCTCTGAGTGATTTTTCGAGGCATTTTTCAAGTTCTTCTACATACTTGTCGACTTTCCCGGTAAAGGGACACCGTCGAGTACTTTCACTCTCGGTTCGTAATAGGCAGTTTGCACTTTTCTGAGATATGCTACATATCTTATCATGTTGTCATATAATATTTCAATAGTTTACTCTCGAAACAATCAGCTACTTCGACAGCATTCACTAGAAATTGTCCTGGAAGGGAATCTCGTTCTACATGATTGTCATCGTCGTCTTCCATGCTTATGAGTTTTAAATCTATTTCAAAGAGATTGGCAGCCTGTTAATCCTAGAATATTGTTTTCTCATTAGTCGTAGCATCTTTCTCGCATCATGCAAAAAAGACTACATATTGCCTTCTTTTCCACTTTTCTACAACCATTATTAATATATCACGTATTGAAAAAGATAAATTTGAAACCGGCCCCCTTACTCTCACTCTGGCTTGTGTTTGACTAGCTAAAGATTTTCACGCCTCTTCCAGTTTCTTGCCGTTTTCTGTTATTATTATTCTTTATTGTCGTTCTCACACATTTGTTTATTTTTCTCGTCTTTGTGTAAATAAAAATCATAAAAAAGTCAAAGATCTTCATTTATTTGTCGACTTGCCAGTTATATAATCAGCATCACTCACTTTCAGTTAGCAGTGTTCCCCTTACACATAAAATAATTTAGTATGACAAATCTCATATGCAAAAAACTTACTTTACAATTAAAAGTGACTACATGACTTCGAATTAATCACATGATGCAAAACAAACTATACAGAATTTTGTGTCTGTCTGAAAAGAACTGCGCTATTTTTAGAACAAAAACAGTGCTTCATCACACCTATATTATCCTTTTTACAACTGATACTCACGCACAAAAAAGCAAAAATAAATAGAACAGAGCCAGTCAAAATACAGTATGTAAATCAAGCAATAAATTCATCCTACATAAAACCAAAACATTGAAAGATAAAGAGCACATATAATACAGAGGCCAACGGGACAAACTTTCGTAAAAACCTAGAGGAGGAATAATCCAATAAAAACTTTCATTATTATTCACGTATTTAGCGTAACTTTGCTAGTCAGACTTAAACTTCTTACTCGATTAATACATCATGGTCAAACTACTGTAGTTAAATCTAAAATGACTATCGATATTTCTTTTACTTGTCATCATAGTTAAAGTTTCCGTCAAACTAGTTTTCTGTCTTCGTTTTATCTCTCACATTCAACAATTCGGTTGAAAACTATTTTAAGATTTATCAAAACATTTAATAACTCTTCTTTATATACTGGTGATGGTAAAATGTAAATGATTAATGTTCCCATTAACGGAATATAGGCTATTAGATAACTAGCAAAATATAAGTTTCTTTGCCATGAATATTCGACACATGCAAATACAAATGTTAAAACTAAACGTGGAAATTGTAAACAAATCAAAATAAGTGGACTAATAACAATCGGTTTATAAAATATAATTTGTTTTTTCAACATACTATAAAACGGTTGTTTACTTTGTTTACAGATTAATAAAGAATTTGATTTTCGAGTAGTTTGACTAATTAGAAAAACGATTGTCGATGTTATGTTGACCATAAATGGTACAGTTAAATGAAAAATATTTACAAATATAGCATATTTCTTTAACAAATCCGTTTTATATTTAATTACACATGATGAATGACCAATAATACGAGGATCTTCAATCAATTCCCGACTCAATGGTTCATGTATACTAGTAAGAATATTAAACAATATAACAATAATAAAAATATATTTTGATACTTTTTCACTCAATATTTTATCAAATGTTACTCCACGAACAACATTTATAGCTCTTTCGAGTGCAATACAAGCTGTGAACCAATCAAACATAGATGGTAAACATGAAAGAAAAAAATCCAATGTAATACAACAATAATAGTTAATATTTCGATGATGTGGTAATAGACTCATCTGATCATCTAATAAATAAATATATTTTGTAGCAAATACATTTAGACCAAATTGACCAATTAAACTTAAACAAATTAAATACCAATATAAACCAGCTTTAGGACCTTTTGATCTTCTTACTATAATTATTGAAACTGTATTAAATATAAAACCAATGAAAACAAGTAAAAGAACAATAATAAGAACAAATTTTATTATAAATGTTTGAAATAGTAATGATTTTCCAACAATAATTTCTGAACTGATAATAGCATCTAATGAAATTGAATAAGTAGTTGTAGTAAATTGACATAAATTACCATAATAACATGAACGACAAACACAAGCAAAATCAATTTCAACTGTTTTTGATTTTGGTTCTAGACATAGAGCATCATTAAAACAATATCCTTTCATTGTACAATTTGATGATGAATGATTAAATATGAGACAATCTACTCGACCATCATTATCACAAAGACACATATATGTATCATCATAAAAACATTTTATTCCAAGTACATCACAAGCATTTGGATATAATTTATAACGATCTAATAAAGAATGTTTAGTCATTAAAGTTTTATTTAATAATTCATAGACATTTGGACAACGATTTGATTCCAATATTTGTGATGTAATTATTTTTACTCTATATTTAAGTAATCCAATTAAATAGTATGAACCATAGATACTACTAGTATCAAAATATATTTGAACAAATATAAATTGTGATAAATAAATATTTTTTTCATAAACATTTAATAAAATTTGATTAAATGGAACATTTCTATAGACCAATATATCTTGAATTAATGTTACACCCATATTATTATAAACATCAACAAAATAGACAACAACAACGGGTACAAAATGAATACGCTTATTATGAAATAAATTTTTTATATTAATTAATGCTCTAGCAACACGATATTGACATAAATTACCATAATATTCATTTGAACAAATACAAACATATTTATATCCTTTTAAATCTAATGTTATACATTTACCATCATGTAAACATGAAGTTTCTTTACATGAATTAAATGAAGCAAAACAATTTTTACCTGATTTTCCTGGCGGACAAATACATTTATCACGAATTAATTCAGATCCTTTTGAACATATTAGAGATGATGTGATATTACAATAAAAACCGGACCAACCTCTATAACATAAACAAAATGATTTATTAATATCATTAACATAAGTTTGACATAATCCATTGAAACAATTTGTATTATTACATATATTGGTTTGATTATCAACGAGTGTTAAACGTATTGCTAAACGATTTACTGGTAAAAATGAAAATGGAATATTATAATACCAAGATGATATATATTCAACGTTTGAATCTTTAACAAAAAATACATCAATATAAATAGCAAATTTATCTGTAAAATTTTTATCTGTTGGATAAAGTAAATAAAATGCATGTTTAAAATTTGATGTATGATTATATGGAACATGTAATAAATCTTCTTGATTAACAATAAGATTAATATCTAATTTTACTAGAGAAATAAGTAATTTATAAACAAAATTTCGATTTAATTTTAATATTTCAATTTGTAAATGAATAGAGATACGTTGACGTTGAAATTGACATTTATTACCGTAGTATGCTGGTGAACAAAAACATTTATCATGTTCTTGATTTCTAGATTGAACAAGAATACCACGATTACAATAGTAAGCAAAATAGGTTTTATCAGACCTCGATAAACAATCGGTACATCGTTTATTATACAATGGAATATTTTTTGATATTAATGATGTCATTTTTTCTTTTTCTTGCCTATCATCATCATCATGAATAAAGACTGATGGATATTGATTTAATCCATCAAATGGAAAATTTTTATACTCATAATTTTGTATTAAATCACAAAACCATTCATCTTCACCGAGATAGGGACACTGTTTTATACCATCACAACGTTCTGATTTTTTTATACACTTATTATTACCTGGTTCGACTCGTCTACAAGCAAATGTTCCATTTGAGCATGTGGCATTAAATCGCCAAGAACAAACCGTTTCATCATCATTCAATGGACAATTTGTAATACCATCACATATTTGTTCGTGATAAATGCATTTTGTACTATTTAGACAATGATAACGACGTGTTAATTCGAATGGATAATATTTTGGACAATAAGACATTCTCTCATCAGTTGAACCAAAACAATCAACGATGCCATCATTACATTGATCACGATTTAGACATGATAATTTTGTATCACTTAAACGAAAACAATAGTGTTCATCTGAACTACAATTTTTTATTTGTTTTTCTTTATTTCTTTCACAATTTAATTCATCAATACCATCTAAACAATTCTAAACACCATCACACATAACATATTTTGAACGACATGTACGTTGCCAAGACTGACAATTAGTTTCATCTGTTGCATTGAGATCATGATCAGGAATACCATTACAAAGCTTTTGAAAGATAAAAAGATTTGATGACATATTTTCACCTCGAATATATCTACAACCGAGATCATTATGTTCCCTGCATGGCAATGGTAATAGTTCATCTGATTTATCAGTGCAATCGAATCGTTCATCAACAAGTTTTTTACGATTTATACATTTAGTTGATGATGTTTCACATTGAAATGTATAACTTAAATTTAATTGACATGTATCATTTACTTTTTCATCATATCCAAGATAACAATCGTTTGTACCATCATTGATACGATATTTTGATATACATCTATTTGATACATCACATTGAAATAAATTTGATGATATTGACACACATGTTGAAGATATATAAGAAATAGAAAATGTTTCCTGTAACTGAGTATAAAATTTAGTATTTAAACCAACACCGTTGTAATTCAATAATGGAAAATCTATTCGACGTCGACATGAATAACCATGAATTGTATGAGTTATTAGAAATATATGATTATATCGAGAAGAATTATAACAAATAAAATATGGAGCGCTAGTACTATCTGTTTGATTTGGTAAATAAAGCAAACGAACAGACGGATAAAGAATAACAGCATTAGGAGGAAAAAAATGTTGACGATTCATACAAGGTTTTTCCAATGGTGAAGGTTTTGCACATACACTGGATGATACATTGAAGGAGGACAAACCATATCCGTTTTTACAAATTCGAAATTGCCAACAAACTAGACTCATATTATCCAATATATTTATATTTTCATCAAACCGAAGCATCTTTTTTTCATATACTTGTGTACGTTCATTTGTACAACCTGCCGTAAAAGCTTTTTGACATGAACCATCGCCGCATGGAAACTTTAACCATGCACAGTTATATTCTTCACATTCCATCGATGGCTCAGTTGCACATTTAAGATTAGCAATAGTCACCGATTGGCTTTTATCAGTTTCATCTGACCAATCAAGACAATCAAAAACTGAATCAACGAAAAAGTGTTTATCAATACATAAACCATTTTTACATCTAGACTGTGTTTTACTATCACATTCATGTTCTTCAAGTTCTAAACAATGTTCTTCATCTTCACCATTTTCACAGTCAACTAAACCATTACATACCTGTCGCCAATCGAGACATATCATACTTTCACAACTGATACCTGTATAACATGTTAAATTGTCTTGTGATAGTTGATTAAATTCACCTAGAGTATATTTCATAGAAAAACGACTTCGAAGAACGGCTGGATATGTAGATGTTGAATCGAGTGTATATTGGCAATGTGAGCCAAACCATAAGTTATCACTACAATTACAATAGATATATTCGTCGTTAACATCATTTTCATCAGATATTTCGAGATATTTTCCATAATCGTTCATTATTCCGATCGGTGAATGCCATTCATACAAATCTTGGGTTGTTATACCTAACAGTTTTAAATCAGCAAATCGAATTTCATTTCCATAACACACTTCCTGTTGTTGAGAAGTCAACCATTTGGGTGATGGCCGAATACAATAGGGACTACTATCCATTTCAAAAA